AGAACATTCGACGCTTCTTTAGCAGTGCGAGTTAGGCCATCCGCTACTTGAAGAGGGGTAAATTCACTTTTCACCACGCATAGGCTGTTCACCTGCTTGGGAAGAAGTTTAGGATTTGAAGTTAATCACTCGGCTAAAGCATGTTGATAAGCTACTTTGCCCTCGTACACTAATTGGGTACTGTGGTTACGGTGGACAACAATGACCATCCAGGTATTCGGATCGGTTTTATGGGTATACCACGCAGCGTTGCTCATCACCATGCGTTTGCGTGTCCTACTTCAAATAAACAACGACATGTTTCCGGAACTGATAGTCTTGGTTTCCGATGCTCCACTAACCAAGGTGTTAAACTTACTGGCGAAACGTTCCCAGGCAGTATCGGGTGCATCCTCGGTTAGGGAACTCCAGTCGGTGGCTTCAAGGAGCCGGGTTCAGGTGTCATAACCGGTTACGGTTCGCGTTGTTTGAGTTCGGTCCTCGGGATATTCAGCATAGCAAGTGTACATGAAATGTAAAGTTGCATGGTCACTGCAGCCTAGAGGAATATCGATTATCACTCTCGACGCAACGCTTACGTGTATGCAATTCTGTCGCATTAACCGATGCGCAGAATCCCTTGCAGACATTGCCGATGAAACCGCTCAAGATCTCGCACATCCCGCCTGTACATCGTCTACGTTTCGTTGCTGTATAGAAGAACGGACAGCACCATGGATATGTACACCATCAGCTTCGTGCCACCGGTAAGCTGATGGTTGTTCCACACTCGATAATCTAGCTTCCCGAATGCCATCGCTGCCTTCGAGACGCGGATACGAAGCTCACTGTGAAGCTACTGGTCAGTCAAAACCACACTCTCAAGGTAGCAGAAGCGGGAGGTGCTTTCTGATACTGGTGCTGACATCAGTGCTGATTCGCAGGACCATTGCAGATTGCACCTCCGGTGAAGACTGAAAGAGACAGACAGTTTTGCTTGTGTTGTTGGTGAGCCCGAACTTGGCCGCTGTCGAAGCCAGAGCAATAGCCCTGTGCTGTAACTCATCTGCGCTGTGTGCAAACAACGCACAGTCGTCAGCAAACAGCAACATACGGATAGTTGTCTTACAGACTAGAGTTCTCGCACTGAAACGACGGTTGTTCAGCAACCCGCCATCAATGCGGTGCTCCACACGAACACCGTAAGCACAAACGGCATCAAAGGCACAAGACATCATTGCATGAATATAAATATTAAACAGGACATAAACTATGACACAGCCTTGCTTCACACCAGAGGCCAATGCAAATTCATCCGAGGTCTCTCCATCCAGTTGCCCCCTCGCATGCATAATAATAAAAATAATGCCAGCTGTACGCCTTAACGGCGCTTCACTGCCACGCGACCACCACCAGTCACACGCGGGCTGCATATACCGCGGAGACCCCCCCCTACGCGGATTCCAACCCACGCTGCAAGATTACGCGACAAGCTCGTTACCTTTAGTCTACGGGCCCGCATACCGCTGTGCAGACATTCAGTTAAACTTACAAACTTATTCAGACAGCCAAACTTACCCAACACCAGCCACAATGCCTCGCGGTTCATCGTATCAAATGCTTTGGTGAAACTAACAAACAGCGAGTACAACAGCTGGTGTCGTTCTCTGCACTTCTGTAACTGACGTGCCGCAGACACCATATCTATAATGCTACGACGCGAACGGAATCCACATTGCTGTTCCGCCACGTTCGGTTGCACAACTTGACTGATGAGGCAGTTGAGCAGGATTCGGGTAATCACCTTGCCCACACAACTCAGCAAGTTGATGCCACGATAATGCATGCAACATTGCTTGCTCTCTTTGCCCTTGTTCAGTATTAGTACAAGGGCATCCTTTAACTTAAGAGGCACCTCCTCCTCAATCCACACGCGTTGCACCAAGCGGTGCAGCGCAGTCGCCAACGTGGGTCTGCCGTGTTTCAATGCTTCAGGCGGGATCTCGTCGACAATGGCTTACTTGCCGTTTCGCGGATGAGCAAGTGCTCTCTGCGTATTATCTAGTGTCGGCGTGTCCGCTAAACTTATCTTCAGTTCGTACTGCCTCAGGCCGTTTAAAGTAGGCCAGTGAATCTCTGAACAGTTGTTTAAGAAACAGTCAGATTGGTTCCTCTATATCTGCATTATGTCAGCCGTCTGTGTGCAGGTACTGCCTGAACTGCCATCGAGTAGCGTCGTTAATGGCTGCAACCTCGGTCCATACACCACCTTCAGAGGGCCAAAGAATTCCTTTTATTGGTGACGTTCGACGTAGCATTACATCTGTTTAGCGTTCTCAGTTCACCAGGCATTTTAATGTAACGGCGTTCTCTAGTAAGTTGCCGTTGAAGTTTGTGAAACTGACTCTTCTTCCCCAAGTCACTGGGGTCTGCCAATTGTGTAGTAAATGCTGCATTCTTCTCACATAATGCGCCAGTCGTCGCATTTTTGTCATCAAACCAATCGGGCCGCTTGCATTTTGCGCGCCCGATGGTCTCCTTGACAGCAGCTGTCACTTTGTCGCGAATGTGGTGTCACAGGTCGCGCACTGTGGCAATGCATTCCATATCACGCAGTCGTGCAGCCATCGCCTTCTCCACCCCAATATTTCTCTCCGCAGTACCGAGGGCGAGAATGTTTAAGTTCCGCCGGTTTTATGGCAGGAGTGCAATACATAGATTTTCGAAAATATATGTACAGTTTGTCCGCACCAACTTGTGATCAGTGCCACACTCAGCTCCACGCAGTACACATGTCGTGTGCACTTCATGCATATCACGCTGACTTACGATGACATAGTGGAGCAGATGAGCGTGACCACTCCGTGGGTGCGTCCACTTTGTTATATCCCATGCACACAGTGCAAACCGAGTGTTCGTGATCGTCGGACCGTGAGTAGCACACAGTGAGAGCAGTCTGTCACCGTTTACATTCGCTGAGCCAATACCACGCGGACCGATAACATATATCCACAACGAGGCATCACGCCCAACGCGCGCCTTGAAATCACCCAGCTGAAATAGTTGGTCGCCCCGCGACACAGACCGTATCACGGAGGATTGCTGAGTGTAGAATTGATCACAAGTATTATCAAGATAACACGTAGTGCGACCGTACGTACTTATAAAAGTGGCAAACTTACCTCTTCCGAGTCGTAGGCGCACAGTCATCAGTCGCGCGCTGATCCCTGTTGGTTCACCAACCATCTGGCCATTTAGGCGATCAGATCTTGCAAATCCGACCCCATGTTCACGTGGTGCTGAGGCGGCGTTACCCACCCAGTGGTACGTATAGCCAGCATCAGCTTCATGCAAATTACCTTATTTAGCGATCCGGGTTTCACTGAGCACCGCAATCTCTATGTTGTAGCGCGCCAGTTCCATCGCGACGAGTGCAGTGCCTCGCTCCGGGCGCTCACTCGAGTTCCGGTCCAGTAGTGTACGCATCTTCCAGCACCTGATCCTGAGTGCTTTGCGCGCAGGCATACGATTGCATAGGTGGGCAATCGCACGGGTGGTGGTGGTTGTGCTTCGGAGATTTGCTTGAAGGACCGCCTGGAACCTTTGGCTCAATAATCTGACCCACAAGGCAGTGGGTGATTTGGGGGTTTGCTTGAGGGATTCCACCCGGAGCCTTTAGCTCAACAGTCTGACCCACAAGGCAGTGGGTGGTTTGGTGGTGTGTTTGAGTGACTCCACCCGGAGAATTCGACTCAGTAGCCCTACCTGCAAGGCAGTGGGGAGCAGATCCAGCTCGGGAATGTGATTGCAGTGACAGATTAGGATCTGCTTGAGGTCCCTCCCACACAGCCTTTAGAGTTCCAGAACAGTTAATTTGTATTTCGCGACCGTATTAAGATACGCACCTGCGACCACGGTCCGACGCAGGAGGGTTTTTTCGTCAATTTTACCAGGGGTTACTAGGCTTGAGGCGGGCGGTAGCAAATCATTGAACACCCGGAGGTGCCCTCCCACCGTCAGCGGCAGTGCGTTGCGCTGGTGCTCTACGCCAATCGAACAGTAAGCTTACAACCCATGGGAGTGTTGTCTCTCATGACTAGGCTTTACGGGAAGGGGGCATCGACCCCTTCCTATCCTCCGAAGGGAATGGACTAAGATATTGGTAGTGCGCTTTTATCTGACAGGGGAACGATTCGGGTCCTCAGCCAAAGCCTTCGATTAAATGTACATCCGAAAGGTAGCGTGTCTAGCGCATGGTCATTTCATTGACTCATGCGGATTGGTGTGCTGGCTCTTAGCTAGGAGAAGTGCTTAACGCAACTTTCAACCAGTGCTCGCCTCGAAAAGGCCTCCTGGATATTAGCTCATGGTGCACTAGTAGCAGCAGTGGGTAGACCATCTGTCAGGATGTAGCCATCACAAGCCTCAGCGCACCATAGGCTCCCCCACCGGGTGATGCATATATATATATATATATATATATATATATATATATATATATATATATATATATATATATTGCTCACGCGGTGCTCGCACTAGTCATGAGCTATGTTGCGAAGTCAACGATGGTCGAACGTAAGTAGCCTCTTTATGTCGACTGATCTAATGGGCCAGGTTTCTCAACCGCATAAGAGGGTTGAACGGACGGCTGAACATTTGAAGCTTCCTGTTGAATGCATACATTTTTCTTTTTCTTTTTTGTCTTGGGCTCCAGTATAAGCTGAGATATCTATGCATTTTTCTAAATGATCTACTGGTGGTATTTGTATTTTTGTCATTTTGTCACTTCTTCTTAAAAGGCCAGCGAAATCTTGTGTGGCCCGCTAACAGAGTTATTCGATGTCTGAAAGAGACGAGGACTTGGGGGCTTTTGGCTGTTACCAACTGCAGTGTGGACGCTAATTGAACATTTTTGTTGTTTCGTTGTTCTTGGATGTGCAGCTGGTACATCTTTTGAATTGTAGCATATAACAAAAACTTCTCGATATAATGAAGAGACCTACACACTATATATTCTAGATATAACAACTGAGATCTACGCGATGCATGCTTTCCAGCTCTACGGTTTATGACCGTTAAAGTCTGGATGTTGTATGGCTCATTCTGTCGGTGCTTCAAACCTCCAGTCCAATGTTGATTATACATTCATTGAATCTGTGCTGCATCGTGGAATTTCACGTCGCTTTGGGACCAAAACGTGGAAAGAAGAGTTAATTGTCCTCCAGAAACGCGAGGAACTTTATGATTTGTACAGTTGTACGAGTGATAATTTTGCAGACACGGTGCGTTTTTATACGTAAATGGCATCATCATTTTAGTGTAAAGAAATCGATGCTTCCCTTGAATATCCATATCCATCTAATGTGAACGAGTTGAAAGAGCGATTCAGATTCAAACTCTGCTTGCGACATGACAAAAGGCAAGACGCCGTACTCAATTATTAGCTAATCTTATATTCCAGAAACTCAGCCGTTGCTTTTCGGGCCACAAACCTATTTGATCTCGCTCGATGGTTATGTATAGACCGAGGAAACTGGAATACCCGCGGTCTTTCATGTGATTTCGAGTTACTTGAAGTACGAATCATGTGTGATGTGTTTGGATTTCTGAGACGATCTGACTGTTTCACGTCAGTTCTTTATACTTTGCTTGTTGCGTGTAATGGTATTTTCACTATAGTCACTAGTTAGTTCTAGATATCGAGCAACTTTGCTTATGCGTTCCGGACGATTTTCGGACATTTTGACATTCTCATTAAGTGCGCCAGTGAGTTTGTTCACTCTATTCTCGTCAGCTGTTTCAGACGATTACTTTCACTGACTAATAGAACTATCATTGTGTGAACACCATCGACCTCATTGATGGTATCCAAGCAATCTGTTGGTTGTTGCACAGCGTGTGCAACAGAGTACGTATGATTTTTTACCAAACGTGCTGCGCACGACTATTTGGTTATCACGTCCAACCTTAGCTGTCAGGGATGTTTCCATTAGCTTCACTTCGAACCACTGGTTACAACAACTAAAACACCGTTTGACGCTCTTACGCAATTTCATAGAGTAAGAGACACATTCCGATCTGTATGTACTAGAATTGCAACGTGACTTCACTCAGAGGCTTCGCGACAAGACTTTCAAAGTATTGTACAACGAACGGGGACAGCTATTCGCTTTAATTTCTTCATCAGCTGCACTGTTCTTTGGAATAGTGTACCAGTCATTGGCAGCTCTTGCACAAGTGCAAGAACATTTTGCATTGGGTTTGGAAGTTGCTTGCATCAAAACTCTACATTATCTATGTTTCTGCCAGGAAAACCGCGACAAATGCCTCCTTCTAAGATGGACCTTGTCATGAAGCCCTCCGCGATGCAAGAAGACCAGGTCGCGATCTCGAAGTCATTTATTAAGATTACACTTGAATATTTATAGTGTATATACACTATTTACAATAATCCGTCTCAATGGCTCATCTCTGTTATTTGTATTGTGTCGCTGGCTCCCTTTCCATTGGTTTATGCTTGCTCGCCACGTTCACTCTGTCTAAAATCACCTTTACTTTCTTATTGGATGTATGATTGGCGGGACTGGGCCCGCGTGCTTCTTTCCCTCGGTCCAATGCCACAAGCCTTGGCTCATAGGTGAACGAGTATGCGCTCCTTCGCCTGCTGGCGCCTGATTGATCACTTGCACGTTCAGTGGATAGTTGCAGGGTGGACGCGATTACGGGCCAAATATTTCCTGATTTGCTGACCAATCTGCTTCCGGAAACATGCTCACTTCTCATCGGTTTGACCTGTTACATTCAATCGGCATTACAGCATTTCCAGCCCCCATCACAGACCTAATAGGATACAATCATTACACAAGACCCTACACCAACATTACCATGTACTCATGCGAGCGCATGATCATAATTGTACGAATAACCTGTTCCATTACAGGTGCAGCATCTCACGCATCCGAATAATATGCATCTTATCATTACTACTATTCAAACTTCAGTTCCCCCATTTAGCTACATTGTGTGGTAAGCTAACTTGTAAAAACGGCTAGAGAACGGTAAAGCTGATTGGCTGGTTTGGAGTTGACGTGTATTGTCCTCGGAGTTGACGCGCATTGGACCTGGAAATTGCGTTGACTTAAAAAACCCTTTGAAGTTTCACAGCTATAGCTCATAACCTGTTCTTTTCTAACAGAAGCTCAGTTATTAAATGTGCAGCATAATCTGGTGGCTCATTCATTTAGCCAGTTCAGCCTAGCCATTAAATTTTACTGCTGTTTTTCTGGGCAACTGTAACTATATTTAATGAGCATGACAACAAACAAGGCTGCAGACGAACGATTGTTTAGAGATAGTTTTGCTGGACAAGCTGTCAGTTCTCTTTGCTTCGGTGACTTACAAACTTAGTTGCTTACTTTTGTGTACCACCATATATTACTTGCTCCATATTGCTCACGCATGCCAGACCAGATACCAGATTTTTCTTTGTAGAATCCTAAACGAGCTTGTGAGAACGATTCGATTCAGCGTTTCTACGAAGAGCGGCTTTCACGTCGAGTCGGGTGGCAGCATGCATCCTATCCTAGTGATTCGGTTGGTCACCTCCAGTTTGAACCTCACGCTTCTGGGATCACACATTGGAAACGACGTCCAACAGATGATAGCTTCCTGCCACCAATCGGAGAGGTCAGCGTTCACCCACCTGTCATCGGTGACAACAAACTGACTGCGTTGCCGACGAATGACAGTGTCTTATTGGAGCATCGACCAACTCAAGTAAGGCTCGATGTATTTCATTTTTTGAATAAAGGTTCTTTTTACCGTATTTTGTATCCAGCGAGAATTTAGTGACACCTGTTCGCCAGGACGTACCAATATTTTGTAGGAGTCATGTCGCATTCCGAAGCATAATTGTTTAAACAAGTAAAAATTCACTACATAAACACACTCCGACAGCCATCACACGCCTAGAGAAGCATTGTAAGCCGTTTCATTCTTTCGAGATTCGTTAGCCATACGCGTTCCACCCGACCTATTCAAATCATGCAGGCCCTATTCCCACTATAAACCGACCTTGTCGGCCCGTAGCTTAAATGAGCACAAACCTACTTTGTAATTTTAGGGAGCGGGTTCTAACCTGCGTTGGTGACTGGTCAACTCTCCCCGTATCCGTAGCCCACGTGCGACTGTTGATAGTTGCGCAGTAACGAGGCGTCGGTACTGCGTACCGGCGTAACGCTGATACCCATTTCTATCTGACCTATGTGGAGCTTACACTCACAACTCGACTGCTACCAGTCTTTGGTTAACATCACCGAACTGCGGGTTGGTGGTATCGACCGACGTGAGTAATTTACTGAATTTTTAATAGCGCTGCGGTTCACTGGTTTTGTGGATCTATGCGTTCTCTCTTAGAGAATACCAGTTATCGGTATACTGAGTTGAGTAGACCTCCTATAATCTCCCATGCGATTACGAATTTCACATGATCGTCATATAACTAGCACTAGTGAGTCAACGGTAAGGCATCATCGGGTTTCTTAAAACCTATGCAAGTAGATTTGACCATATTAACTTGAAGTATAATCCAGTTATACACCTGACAACCTTACAAATAATACTGATTGGAAGTGCAAGGGTCTTCAAACTTCACAGATAATCGCAGCGTCTGTTAGCAGGCCATACACCTGGATTCGGTGATTCTGAGTCGTATCTCCGCCATTTCGGGCTCACATTTTTTGACCATCTGTAGATTTTAGTTTTTTCATCATTCTAAGCGTTGTAACATTATTTTTGTTTCGTTATCTGTCCGGATCACGCGCAACTGTTCATCGTATGTCTGGCGCAAACTGATACATATTACTATTTTATGAATGCAACCTAGAACACGAGCCACTTTTGCGCCTACATTAAAGCTCATTAGATGACTACGATGACGGATATATCTAATCAAAATATGTATTGACATTGTTCAATACTTATTCGCATGTATTGTTGCATTCTTGGTGCTTCTTCTCCGAAGTTAGGCTAAACCAACTTACACTTAAACTAGGTCTTTTTAAGGTGGATAAATTTCATTCCACTTTATTTGGTTTGTTCTGCCTACCTGAATAATCTTCTATTAACTGGCCACGTTGCTTACGCTAATTGCGTTTATTTTTGGTAACTTGGTTGCGTTTGTAGCATTTTTAAGTAACTTGTGAACATTTTTGCTTATCACGGATTCGTTGCTAACCAACTTACTTCATATGATAAGTTAGCGAAAAGTTATGCTACCGTATCTGTATGCTTTATTGGATTTATTTTACTTCATCTTGTCGTTTCAAGTGATTGGCTGTCGTTTGATATCCCCGGTATGGCTGCGTTTGATGTGCATGTTGACAGGGTGTCTACCTGTCTATTACCCACCACGTCGTCGATACTGGCTCCAGGAGAGAGTTGGTCGTTGCTGGAGGGGACGGTGTGCACGGTCCTTGTGGCCGTGCTAGGCTCGAAGAGTGGTTCCATGCACTCAATGTGCGGCGGACTACGGTCCAGCCACCGTCTTGTGTGCGCTTGATTCACCATATACAACCTGTTTGTTGTGAAGGAGTGTGGGCCTGCTCCGTTGATGAAACGTGGCTCCCATCCACTTGCTTCCCGGTCTTATTCCTTCGGGTTTACACTGGATATGGAGTGTGTGGTTGGAGCTGTGGGTGGTACAGTGCAAGCCACCCGTGGTCCCTCTGTAGGTGCAGGCGTCCTGTGGCTGGCCACAGTGACAGGCAAATCCGAAATCGGATGCCTCCAACCATATATATATATATATATATATATATATATATATATATATATATATTCAGGATTACCTTCAAACGAACCCGCACATGATGACGTATACCCCCAATGTTTTCCCTATCGTGCCTCACTGAAGTGATTTGCAAAGTTGTCTGCTAAAATCGACTTATTCCGTTCAACGCTCCTCTCATTAGGGGTGCATCTTCTGTATAGCATGGTGCACCAAAAGTACGCAGCGGAATTACTCATCTTGTTGTACGTGCGACTTGAGACCGTACTTTTAGACTATACTGGATTGAATTGAAGTTATTGATACGCTTTTGCTGGAGACACGTATTGTTGTCTGCTGTTATCCAGTGCCGCCCTGGTTGCTTATTTGTTTCCGGTGGAGACGCATTAGCCCAAGACTTCCAAACGATTTGTCGTTTTCATATACTGTGCCAAAATTAAGGTTGTATGCTGTTGCATAACTGGTTTGTAATTTGTGTTGGAACATTACTGCTCAATCTGCGCTGGGAAACTTCCATTTTCCTTTTCTTATTTACTGTGGTAATCATTTACTCTTTGATCTCTACGAGACCGACCACATTCACAGTTGTCGTTTGTTGGTCGGATAGCAAGTGTTAAGATCTCGACCGCTATGGAATACGTGTCCTTTGACAACATTGTTTTATTTGAACTGGTTAATTTCTTAGCACAGTACCTATGACAATGTGATTGACTTTGCAACCCTGAGTGGTATTGTTTGCTTGAGCTATAATAGTTGCGTAATTAAGTGCTACGGGAGAATGGACACTTTGGTTGTCACAACATTTGCACCAAAGGTTAACTCGATAATCTCCGTATCATTTATCATTACTGTATGTTTAGGTGCTGTCTGGCTTGATGCGTCGTCCTCCAGCCCGATTGTTATACTCCCTGTTTTACCAGGGTAGGCTCTATCGCTTATATCCTTCCCTAGTGGGACGTTAACACGTCTTAGGCACACGCACTAAGTTAAATTCGTCCTCATGGCATATTGCTTTCGCACGTAATTGGATTTACTAGTTGACTTCGCATTCACGCTGAGAAGGTCCTTCGCTGCCTTCGCAGAGAGTAATCACTTTGATCCTAGGTATTTAAAACCCAAACCATCTAGCTTGTTGATCCTTCAATCATTTCCCCTTGAAGTTGCGTACTCAGCCCTGGAACTTAACCTAATTCTACGCTTCACAAACAATTCACGTGATTGCTCCTTTTAACTTTTCTATTATTTACTGATAGCAATATCTCGAGGGCGAAGCAGTTTGGGCCGAGCGGTAAGGCTCCGGATGCTCACCGATCATGAGTCGCACTGAGAAGAAACGGGCGTCTGGTGCTTTCTGGGACGCAGTGTTAGCTGTCTAAGTCGCAATAAAATTACATCAAAATTCCCCCTACTCATCAGTATTCAGTTGCTCTATAATTAGAAATACACATTTGAACTGAGAGGCTCTTGTCACGCGTCCTTTTTTTTTCGGGATTTCTGGGTGCTCCGCAATCAGTACCTCTTGTTATTTTTTCAATCCATAGACACACTGGTTTCGTTGTTTTTCATCGATTTAAACAGAACGTTATCTCAACTGCGCCATCCGAAGGTTGTAGTCCTCAAGCCAAATTCCGACCATTAGGTCGCAAAATTCAAGTTTTCTGGGGTGTATTCTATGTAACATGTCGTTTATCGCATCCCGATTCATTTCGTTTTATCACTAGACTGTCGGCACTCCACAGTGCGATGGAGAAATTTATCCATACTCTTCTTCCCCCAGTAATCGTAGTTAACAGCAGCGTATCGAAAGATGGACGAAGGCCCGTAGGACACGTACTGGAATACATTTGGAAATGATAGAAACGGAATAAACGCGCGTATCGTTGTGATGTCAGCCTTGCGAGTTGGAAGTAGCGGACAGGATTCAAAGCCTACATTGACTCACAACATGGCTGTGTTCACCGGGATAGCTGACCAATAATGTGTTGACCCTGAGACGCTTATATATTTTCCCATAGTCTCCTGTTACTTTTCACCATTTACTCTCCAGATCACCTTGTGCCCTCATCCGGTGTAAACAGGGCCGGCACCATCGGGGGACTGTTCTCCCAGCGTATTTTAGTTTTAGCAGCTCAGCTCCGCGCCACACACAGTAATGTCGTTGATGACCTCTGCTCACCGCCTACTGGATCACGCATCTGCACGCTAGGGTGGTGTTCCCTACTATTGAACTCAGTGTCTTAATCAATCATTGATCAGTCACCTACCTCACAATGCGCTATATACGAATCGGATCGCTACTTCTCACGCCGTCTTTCAGGGCTATTTTGCAAACGTTAAAAGTTTCAGAAACTCGTTGCAATTTACTCGCTGATCTGTGCAATTTAATTGCCAACGTTTCGCCACTACTTTAGCTACTGCATAACAGTGAGCAGCTTGTCAGCAGTAATAGCTCAAGCACATCCGGAGTAGGGTCCTGACGAATACAGGAGTAACTTTTATCTACCATTCAGTTGTTAGTAACCGCGTTTCATACATATTTGCCCCATGTTATGGTACTCAGTGATCCTCGTACGATTCCCGTTGTTTGTCGTTTGACTTGTTGCGAGGTAGGATGGTTCCCTTTAATCCCGTCATCACGTAGCCGTATTGTACAGAGAGGGAAGTTTTCCTTTACACTGTTACATGTTGTCCGACCTTGGCGAAATGCGTTCCTATTCCGTTCCGCTAATTACTCCATAGTACTTGTCCACCTAATCGAGACGCGGCGTTCAATAGGTAGTCCAAGCTCCAGCTGATGGTGTGCTACATACTACCCTGTTCCCGAAACTACGTTCATTATAGATTGGACAAAGCCATAGTAATCCTAATAATAATAATAATAATAATAATAATAATAATAATAATACGTATATTTCTCTTGATGAGAGAAACTGTGTCTACAGCGGCACAGATCAATTTGTACAGAAGAATCCATGCTCTTGCATGGGTGACATGCATAGGTGGAGTATTAGCATATGCGTTTCATGTGTTAAACTTCTGGCGGATGGTTGAGACCAAAGCCTAGTTATGAAGACATTGGTGTTTATATGTTTTGGGCCCCTCTTGGAGTAGCTCATCAAGGGACTTTTCTCATGTGAATATGGAGCTTAGGGCAGTTAGATCAAGGGAATTGGCGAGTCTGGTACTAAATGTTGCCACCTTATCACATTAACTGAGTGTTATTAGTAGTTTATTCCACAGATAGCTGGATCTGACTGGGAAGAAAGTGGCGCGGACGTTCGTTCTAGCCTTCGGTATATTCAATGTTGCGAAGCGCTTGAGTCAAGCAATGTTGTAAGTTGAGTGTAGGCAGATTGGAATAGCTATTTTTGTGTAGCATGTTGAAAAGCAGCAACAAGTTGTGCTTCAGTCCTCGAATCCAAAGTGGCTCGAGATGAAGTTCATTGCAGCGTTCTCCATAACTCATGTCTGAGTGTTTACTCATCAGACATTTAGTAAATGACCTCTGCAGGTACTTCACTGCAATTCTGCCAATTTTTCTTATATTTCGGTATATTGTGCTGCAGTATTCGAGGATGGGACAAGTGAGTAGCTTGAAAAGCTCAACTCTTGCACGAGTTGTGTGTAATTTGTTTGATATATTGAACATAAACTGCCTGACACGTGCTACTTGATCTGTTCGGAGAAATTGAAAGTCACTGATGAAGTATTCAAGGGAAAATCTTTCCACTGCTTCGCCATTCATGTATACATATTTTTATGTAATTTACACCGGTTTTAGTGTTTTTTTAACGTTTCACTACTTTTGAGTGTCATACTTTCTTATCTTCTAGGTTTTAAAATACGATGAATTGCTTGCAGAGCACTACATAAAACAACCCTTGTCTGCGGAACGACGACCACAGGAGTACGACACCGCATCCAGTGCTCGTTCAGTGGACGTCAATTCATCTGTCAGATGTCTGGAGAAAACGGCATCTACCTCAAGTCACCCTGACAGCAGCCCAGTTACACGTGCACAGTTTTTGGGTACGGACAGTTCCGCCCATTCGTCGCGTAACTCCGAGACCCAAATCACGCGAATTCGACTGCCGTTGCTTGGCTCCGATTGTGCCACTCCGATACAAGTGCGTTGCATTCGGCGATGACTACTTTATGTCATTTTCATCGGTTCAAGACACTCCGTAGCGCGACCTATCGTTTTATTTGCTAAACTTGGCATGATATGGCGTCTACATGAAGACACACCTTCAAAAAATAACCTGGCAGACTAGTGTGACTTTCACTTACAAGAAACAGCCCGTGTTGAAGCAACTGCTCATTTTCTATGGCTCTAGGTTTAAAAGGCATCAGCCATACTCCGGTCCCCAGTACCGATACTTCGCTGCTACGCAACCAACAACAGTCGCACATAGACGAAGAATGCTGCGAGGGTCGCCCGGTTCATACACAGGCTCCAGCCCTCGCTCTCAGATTACAAGGCAAGATTGTGATCCTTAAGGTTACGAGCTGGCTGGCTTTAGGTTTAAATAGTTTTGATTTGTTTCACTTGACTATAGTAATGTAATTTTGATCACCATGTATATGGATCATTCGCTGTCGTCCATTGGGTAGATGTCGTAGTACCCCAGAAACCCACAGGAACAGATGAATTCAGAATGCCTTCAACATCACGATGTCTCGTATTTCTGAGACTAGCATGTCTCTGCTCAATTCCTCTACCTGTTCTCTCGATCGAATTTATGCGTTCTTGAGAACGAAGGGAGTCTTGCACCGAAAATTTACTGAACTGGGAGACCAAACACATGGTGGCGGCACTGTATGGAAATAAAACAAGTTTTTACCGTAAAATAGTAAAAATGCCAAGTTACGCTGATCAGTGAGCATGGCCAAAGCTGCCAGATTAAGTTTTCAGACCGTCGACAAGTACTAAATAGTTTTGCTACAGTTCTATCCTTCCCCTTGTAAACTGAATTGTCATTGGGGCTAATCACAATGCCACCGATCTTATGACTCCAAGCGACTCGCCATTAATACCACAGAAAACGGCTAGCGGCCGACTATACAACAGTCGACACAACCTATCATCCTAGCCACAAATACATCGGATCGTTGCTTAGAACCGAAACACTTTCCTGCATGTACACGAATGCCCAAGGCCTCAGCAAAATTGCCGAGCTTCGATTGCGCCAGGCAACAAACGCTTGGGATCTCATCTCCATAACCGAGACTTGGTTGCACTCAAGGGTTACGGATGCCGAGATCGCGATTCAGGTTATGTCCTGTTCCGACACGATCGTCCCAGCAGGGGAGGTGGTGTTATCCTATACTATTGTAACGACTTACAATGCGAACCACTGGATGATCCGGAGACGCGGGTCACCGATTCGTTATGGTGCCGTTTGCGTCTCAGACACAACGACAACTGCTTTTTGGCAGTCGTATATCGCCTTCCATCGTCCACTCCAGAGATGGATTCCCACCTAATATTATCACTGACGAAATGCTTACTCCCAACTTACAGCCACGTTGTTATTTCCGGCGATTTCAACGTACACGACTTGAAAAGCTCGGCATGCCCCAGCGAAACATACAAGGTCGAACTGCAAGACCTTATCGCAAATATTCCGCTCTACCGTTACATCAGGTCACCTACCAGGTAGAGAGCTGATAACAAATCATCGGTACTTGACCTCGTTCTTACAAATGAGGAATTCATGATCGATAGGCCATTTATAGACACCCCACTAGGGTTAAGCGATCATGTCACCGTACTTTATAACTATGTGTGTTACGCTGAATATCCTGAGGAACACACAGAGCTAACACGTACTATCACACATTACATCTTGAACAACCTAGTTGCGACGACCGATTGGGAGCTCTTGTAAGGTGGCTCGCCTGACTGCGTCCGGATTCAGTTTGTTGGGCGCTTCAGCAATCTGATTGGAACTGCTTCGGAAACAAAGAAGGTTCGCTCCACTAATCCCTCGTCTTTCATCAGAAGTAGAACTCGTGAGCGTATGTCACTAAGAAACGCAGCTTGACACACTTACAGAGCTCATCCTTGTCCCGAAACCTGTAGCGAATAGGTGGCCCAACACAACCGATAACATGCTTGTCCATGAGAACAAATTGACTCACCAACAACATTTGGCTTGTAAATTTGACAACAACAAAACGCTCCTATACAAGCTTGTTAACACCATTCGGAAAGTGAAGCTCAGTATTCCCCCACTTCACACGCCAATCGGAGGGGCACAGAGTGCCGAAGAGGCAGCCAACACCCTACGAATGCAGCATGCCCCAACCTACCAATGAGATGTCCGCCAGTGTTACCTGCCCACATCCCTATCCTCAACTTCAGTACTCACTAACATCGATTTTACTGCCGCAGCTGTGTTGAAGAAACTGCTCTCACTACGCACCTACTGGTTTCCCGGAATCGACTATATTCACCCAAGGGCGCTGAACGTAACAGCGACGACGCTGACCGGACCATTATCCCATTTCTTCCAGACGTGCTTGAATTAACAACTTGTGCCTACCATGTGGAAACATATATATATATATATATATATATATATATATATATATATATATATATATATATTATATATATATATATATATATATATATATATTTGTAGCATTTTTAAGTAACTTGTGGATTCGCGGATTCCTTGCTAACCAACTTACTTCATATGGCCATTTAGGGAAGAGTTATGCCATCGTATTTGTATGCATTATTGGATTTATTTTATTTCAGCTTGCCGTTTAAAGTGATTGGAAGTTGCTTGATATCCCCGGTGTGGCTGCGCTTGATGTGCATGTTGACAAGGTGCCTACCTATCTATTACCCACTACCTCGCTCATACTGGCTCCAGGAGACAGTTGGTCGTTGCTGGAGGGGACGGGGTGCACTGTCCTTGTGGTCGAGCTAGGCTCGAAGAGCGGTTCCATGCAGTCAGTGTGGAGCGGACTACGGTCCAGCCACCGCCTTGTGTGCGCTTGATTCCCCAAATACAGCGTGCTTCTGTTTGCCTGTGAAGGAGTGTGGGCCGGCTCCGTTGATGAAACGTGGCTGCCATCCACATGCCTCCCGGTCTTATTCCTTCTGGTTTACACTGGATATGGGGTGTGTGGATGGAGCTGTGGGTGGTGCAGCGCAAGTCATTAACGGTTCCTCTGTAGGCGCAGGCGTCCTGTGGCTGGCCACAGTGACAGGCAAATCCGAAACCGGATGCCGCCAACCATATATATATATATATATATATATATATATATATATATATATATATATATATATATATATATAGGTACAGAAATAGTAAAGGAAAACACAACACAACACATCAAAGTCCATGGTTTCATCAGAGGGCGAGATACTACCCGGTGGAAACATAGCTTAACCACTCCAATTTTCAAAAATGGTAATCACTGGGAACCCACCAACTATTGTCTAGTGGTCCTCCTCCCTGTGCTTTCAAATGTGACGTAGACAATCATTGCTGAGGTTTTAGTAGACCACCTAGAACGCCACAACACCATAGCACCCGTGCAACACGGTTTCCGCCAGTACCACTCATGCACTACCAACCTACTGATTTCACGCGGTAGTCGGGCGGAAGCTGCCGGTACAGGCAGAGTGACAGACGTCATTTACCTCAACTTCTCCAAAGCCTTCGACTGACTGGACCACCGCATTCTGCTTCACAGGTTCGAAAGTTATGGAGTTGGTGATCCTATCCTTGAGTGAATCAGGAATTTCCTGCAGAATCGGTAACTGCGGGTCAGAGTTCGAAGTGCGCTGTGGAGTTCCACAAGGATCAGTTCTGGGGCCGCGCCTGTGTTCACTAACGTGCTTACGCGTTTGATTACTTCAGATTTTTGCTGTTACCTGCCGATGTTAAGATGTGGCGGACGATCGCCGACCCAGCGGATCAAGATGCACTTCTGAAAAACTTGTACAGAGCGTATGCGTTGTCACTCCACAATCTGCTCCAATCTAATTCTGGGAAGTGTAAAGTGGTTCACATTCGCCACCAGCCGAAGATCTCATCCAAGCGTAGAGATCATATCCTGCAAGCAGTCACACGAGAGCGCGATTTTAGGGTGCTACTTCAGGCTGATGTGTGCTGCTCAGAACAATCTGAGGTGTCAGACTGGGAATCAACATGTTGGCAGGCTGCGAAGGGCATTTGGGTGGTTTGATCCTTCTGTCTGTTCGCAGTTGCTTAACACCTACGTGCGGCCTCATGCGGAATACGCAATCCACATGTGGCAGCCCTGGCGCAAACATGGCCTTGCAGCGCTCGAGACTCCACAGCAACGAGCCACGAAGCACGTCAAAGGTTTGTTTACTCTTCCTTATCAACTTAGACTGAGGACCCTAAATTTATACAGTGGCCGGTACCGGCGCCTACGTGGCGACCTTATTGCGACCTGCCAGATTCTTGGGAACCCCAACCACGTCTGCCGTCACCCACTACAACTGAGCCACAACACGAAGTTGAGGGGTCACCAGTTCAAGTTAGCCACGCAATACATTCAGCTGGAATGTCGACGGAACTTTTACTCTCTTCATGTGTGTCAGCCTTCGAACGCTCTCCCAAATTACGTTCTTTCCGCCCCCACTTTACCTGTGTTCATTAAAACGTCTTGATGTTGCCCTAACCCACCTACGAGATATAGCCTGTGTCTCGACGGACGATATAATGCGACGACTGTTGCACAGCCAGAATTAACCTGCACAATTCTGATCGGCTCTTTCTGCGTGCCTCTGGGTTAAGGCTGTGGTGAATCCACCAAGACGATTTTCATCTTATCCCTTTGTTTTCTATTCTTTTCTTTTCTTCTTTTCTTTTTGATCATCCTACGGACCTTGCTAAGCATCTACTATTTTTGTCCGTTATATACCATCCTTCTGTTGGACTTCATCATATCTTCCCATCGTCCAATAGTGGTAATTTGGTCATTAGTGCCCACAGGAATTCTTCTTGCGGGACGGTATCGTTTTTAAGTTGGTACAACAATAACCAAAATCAGTGGCTGCGGTTGTTTCTAATGTCTTCTCATTCAGTAACATAATAAACATCAGCACTACTCTGGCCCGCCATACCGACGCTTCTCTGCCATGCGACCAACACCAGTCTTTTTTAGGCTGGTTAACTGTGAGCTCGCACGAATCTATGTAGATTCGAGCCAGTGACTTGTGGATTACAATGCATCCATCCCTATCGTTTCAACTACCAGCCGACTGACTTTACCCTTCATTGGAGTGCGAAAATCCTAACGGCTTGAAAGGAAGTCACTTTCTTACACATGTGACTCATGTATGTGATGCGGATGAGGTATCTGGAAAATGAAAGATATTTTATCGCTTCTGAGCCACGCACCCATCCCGCATGGTGGCGAAACATGTGCGACCATTCAACGAAGCTCGGCGAACCAATCAACAGCTTAACGACCAACTCGAGCTACCAGTGTTTCATATTATTTCCAATACACTGACCACCTAACGTTGACTGATTCATTTATGCACCTTGGCAGGTGGGGAAAATGGGGTGATTGCCTTGTCCACTTGGATACCAATACGTCCGTTGAAATTTCTGTCCTAGCTTGTAAAGTTCCCCGTCACATTCAGATGGAATTAGACTGGACGAGAAACGTTGCGCTTTGGCTTTCAAATAACTCACCTAATAAGAGATCCACCTATCCACCGGCTGGCTAGCCGAACAACCCGTGCTGCCAACTGGGTAGTTCGGGTGTAACCCGTTCAAGCCATTAATTCGGCGGCAGTGTTCCAGGACGGGGTGGGTCTTCGCCTGGTAAGCGTTCTCCCTATAAAAAGCCACAAATGTCTGCTTAACAACACTGTGACGTGGCGGATGTGACTCGCCACTAATTAACGTCACTACCCAATCTTACGCTGACAAACTTGTCAAATGCACAGGCATCAAACATTTCTTCAGGCACCGGCGACGCGATCGAACTCATTCAAAAGAACAGCAACACATTTACAAACACAAGCAACACACCTACCTGCATACCTACATTTATGGATCCACATATATGAAAATCCTATTATACTATTGCACATTTCTTGATCAATTGTTGTACTATTACTATGAGCATGCCTTTGATTGCGTGCCACGCGTAGCCGAAAATAAAAATTCATTTATTTACTACCCATTAGCTTTACAATTTGGGCTAGAAAGACCCTACTTCTTACGGGTTGCCTGCAACAGAGTTGGGCATGTTAATCCAACCGCCTCGCTGCACCGAAATGGCAGTGAAGTATGGCAGGGGTAGATAACATTCATGGTTGTCGGCATCCGGTTTCTGATTTCCCTGTCACTGTGGGCAGCCACAGAACGCCTGCGCCTACAGAGGGACCATGGATGACTTGCGCTGCACCACCCACAGCTCCATCCACACACCCCATATCCAGTGTAAACCCGAAGGAATAAGACCGGTAGGCATGCGGATGGGAGCCACGTTTCCTCAACGGAGCCGGCCCACACTCCTTCACAGGCAAACAGAAGCACGCTGTATTTGTGGAATCAAGTGCCCACAAGGCGGTGGCTGGACCGTAGTCCGCTCCACACATTCATAGCGTCGTTGGTACCCACATACAGCACATTCCATTCACAAAGGCATGGATATCACAGTACCAATTGATCGATAAGGGTCCTGGTGTTCCGGGAAGTGCTGTCTGTTGACCGATTTGTAATAACATGCGAGGATCGAGGGTTTCAAATAGCTTCAAAGGAAATGGAGTTATCTACAGAGTTGGACATGGACTTGGCGACACCGTAGAAATAACGTTCTATGCTTGTTTGTGAGTGGAAACTGGAAGACAAATGCCTACCAAGGCTTGATGAGAAGGTTTGATAACGGGAGAGGAAACGTAGGTCGGAATGGGACGATACGGACTAACTAGCATAAGAGTAGAAATAGGAAGACGGGAAGGCTTGATCACTAACATCTTCACTCCTATCCACCCAGCTGGAACCGCTAGAGCATCTGGAAGTAATCTGAAGATAACTTCGTTGTATTGTATTGCGTGGGTAGGATATTGTACGGTTGCCCATGCATTGACAGGAGAACAATACATGTTTTCGACCAAGGTCTTTAATTAAAGTACATGACCGCAAGGCAGCAGAAGTTTGACAATGGACTACACGGAGTCCGTTTTTAGGAATACGGAGACACCCTCACTCCAGTCTCTAACCTGGAAGGTCAGGATAGCTGTGTTTGACCGGTTTGATATGAGTGGCTCTGTAGGTCCAAGAAGCCACCCAGCATAGTTCATTGGCCTATTGATGCACGCAAGCTGACGCACCACTTTAAGATCTAGTCTCGTTGCGACGGATGACTCAAAATTGCTGTCAAATTGATGGCTTATAGCTCCCGCTTATGGGGCTGTATGCCGCAAGTCGTTAAATATACGAATATGTTTATTTATTTATCCACATTGCGTAGACTACCGCTTTTTTTAATCAGCATTATTACTAAGTTTTTTCAGTAACTCGACAATAAACCTTCGGGCAACACCATTTCGAACAGCTCGGCCACGGAGCTGCCCATTGAACAATTCCACTTAGGTACAAATTTCCAGTACAGTATATATTTCATGCAGGGACTGCACTCTGACCATAAACATTATTTCGTGCGATGAATCTGGAAAAATTCTTATATTTCCCCCCTTTTCTTCGGTTACTTTCCTCTGTCTCATTTCGCTATTGACCATTCACCGACCGCCAAACTGCAGTGGGCCCAGCTGCCTTGACTCACTGGGCCGCAAAGTCAAAACTTGGGCGTTTTGTTTTTCTCAGGGAACACTAACGAATGACAGGTTTGCTACAATGCAAACTGTAGCCTCAGTTGAGATTACATGTCGCAATGCAGACACACTGGGAGTACTCTAAAACACAATAGTGAACTTCTAACTCTGTGTGCAGCGCCGTCGTGGAGTTTTCGCTTAGTGTTCAAGACGAAGTCGTCAATCACTGTGTCAGGTTCCCCTCTCAGCTCAAGCTATCTCTACCTGACGATTCCAAATGAGGACGAAGACAATCGGTCGTGGAGTGCCGTATTGGGAGAAAGCGGCTGCGAAACTCCGCAGCAAGGTCCTCATAAAATGTTACCCATGTAATGGGAAGGTAAGCATTTATACAATTTTAACCAAACTAACGCAGCTGACCTTGTATTCAAACGAATCAGTAACCACCGATGCGATCAACCATGAGACAAGCAGCCATCAGTGGGATATGTTCTGTCGATTTGCTATACTGCCTGACTATCTCGGGGTTTTTTCGTAACCGTTTTCTTCATCGGCAATTCGAGCTCAGAGGTGGATTAACATGATTTCACGTCTCGTATTCCCAGGAGATCCTGAATTTTTTCACTCCTTTTTCCCGGGAACTCACAGCATCAAGACTGACTAAATAATCTCTCCCCGTTACGGAATTAGCGGTTATCCTTGCCTGAATTAACCTGACCTCGATTTTGCCATTGAAGCGGAAGGTGACGCTCAGTGCAGTTTGGCATATCACTCAACTGGCTGGGCATTGGCTCTTTCTCGCTAAAATTCCAGTGTTCGTTGCTATGGACGTTCTTTGAAATCGGGCGAGTTTAGCTACTGAGACTGGTAACCGCTTTAGTTTCTCCACATTTTGTTTAGTACACTTTTCTGATGGTTTTGTTGACTGGTGCAACATCGTGTTCTTTACTGTTTGCTTTCCATTGCCTCTACAACGTTCAAGCCTTTCACTCCATTTTGAACAATGGAACACCGATATTACCTTCAGGGCTGCCCTAGTTGTACTTTAGTATTAAATTTCAATTTTGCCTTGCACTGAAAAAGTTGATTGTCTGTTTCAGCTCGACTCTGTGTTCCATTTTGCCTCACCACATCAGAATCAATCACGAATCTGTTTGACATATCACTCGTTACATTGTGAAATTCCATTTTCTCATCACAGCATATCCTAGATGCATCGGGGACCCCGGGAGTTTCTGGTATCGATGGATATGGAGGACCTCCGGGCCTTACCGGACCTGACGGACATAGTAAGTACTGCTTTCCTTTTAGTAGTTCTGGTAATAACTGAAGGTTTGAACGAAGCTGGTCGACTTGTTGCATTTACGCACGAGACCACTCACTCGCTGCCTACGCAAACGGATCACATGTGCACGAGCCAGAGGAAGGAATCAGGATTGGCTCATCCTAGAAAGAGCAAAGCACAGCTTTCTCACGAACAACAGCGAAGGTGTTTGGCTGGAGCAGCCATGAGCGGACGAATTGTGCGTGCTGGCCAGACAGCTAGATAAGAGCTGACGGGCTTAAGCATGACTAACGGGGAAAAACGCAGGCAGATCAGACGTCGATTGAAGTGAGCAGGGCATAGTAACAAGTGAACACAGACAGACCGCAGAACACGCAAAGTATGGAAAGCTGCCAATGTGAAGTTATCATGACTAAATAACGCCCCCATTTGTGCTGTAGAAAGGATGATTTGTGTGACAAATACTGGAGCTGGATCGTTGCTCAAACTTTGTTTTGACTCAATGAACAATGAAAAGTGACTTTATACAGGTTAAGAAGCACTGCTTTACAGGCCCCGTTGAGTGGTCTAGTGAGTTATGGAAAAACCTTGATATGCGCTTAGTAGTTTTATTGTCAAAAGAATGGACTTTTGGACTATTTTTATGCACCCCGCGTTGATTCACACATCCAGTAGGCGACAGATAATAAATTCAAGATATTTCTCGGCAGTAGGATGGAGAGACAGTGCTAACTGGATGAGTGCGTCATCCAACCGACTTTTAAGTATGACTGGTGTAGGTGTAGAAACGATAGATTCGGGAATAGCGTTCCACGGGTGACACCGCGAATAGAATAGAAATGTCTACGACATTCCAGACGGCTGTACTGTTCTACTAGTTTCGATGAATCACTTATACAGTTTATATAACTACTGAGTTGTAGTACCGACTGGCAACCATGATCAAGATTGTGTGAATTCAAGTGTGCCGTTATCAGGCCCACCTGTAATCGGAGATAACTTCCGCTGAATACTCCCAAACGTTTCAGCCTCTTTTCATTTAGGAGATTACGCATCCTACTGACGTATTTGGAACCCCGAGGTTGAGGTTGGTTCAGTACGGTCCGTAGCCTAAAGGTTCACAAGCCTGCGGCGTAATCCTAGGGTGTGGCTTCGAGCCTGCGTAGGGGACCGGGTGACCATCGCAGTATATGTAACCCATGTGCGACTGCTGGTGGCTGCACGGCAGCGAAGCGTCGCTATTACGTACCGGCCTACTGCTAACAAGATCGTGCTTCAGGTTTGGCTGCCAGGCTTGAGTTGTGTATTTTGACATGGGGGCGGACATACTCACTGAGCATCTATCGGAAAATAGAAATGTATATTTGCCCGAACGCCCGTCGCAACAGACCGATGTGTTGGTTACCAATTTACGATGTGTTTCGGCTTTCTGGTAACAACCCGTTATCCTTAACCAGCACGCCCAGGTCGCGTTCCACGGATCATCGCAGCAATTCTCGCGTTATGAGCCTGTATGGGTAAGTATTCAGATGTCGAATTGAAAGTGCCTTGCATTTGGTCACGCTGAACTGCAGGAAATTTTGGGTTGACCACTGATTTGCCTTGTCATTGTCGCTCTGAAGCAGCTACTGGTCGGCATTCGCTTGAACCCTGCGCTAAATCTCGATGTCGTCGGCAAACAATTGGACGTTTAAAGTGATTGCCTATGCGAGGTCTTTAATAAATACCCAAAACAACCTTGGCCTTAGAAGCGCGCCCCGAGGCACACCACACTCGACTCGTATGAGATCACATTAGGAGCTCCGGACTCTTAAGGAGAAAGTTGGAGATCCAGCTCAAGAGGACGTCACCGATTCCGTAATATTAGAGCTTGGAAAGGAGAATTCCATGGTCTAAACAATGGAATGCCTTCGAAGATTCAACTAGATCTCATCAGCGTCCTGCTCAGTGTCAGCTACCCGGGTCTAACTGGTAGATTATTTGCGCACGGTTGCTGTGGACAGCAGCCATGTTGCTCGGAAGCAGTAATGTTACATTTTTGCAGATAGGGCACCAGGGTATCGGCAACGATGGACTCCGTTATTTTGGACAGTGTAGGGAGAAGGGATGTTGGGCGGTAGTTTGAAGTTTCAGTTCTACTTCCGTCTTTGTGAATCGGAGTTATTATTCAAAACTTCCACAACTCAGGAACCTGGTTCTGGTCTAAGCAGCACCAAAAGAACCGAGTCAAAGGTTCTGCGTTGTCTCGCTCCTGCTCCTAGTGCTTCTGGACGAGTAGCATCGACACCCGGGGAGCTCTTGTTACGCGAAGACGTCATCTACTGTAATACAGATTCAGCAGTAAGAGTTGTAGGTGCTTTGAAATAGGTGAGTCCTGGAGGCGTAAACAAAGAAAACTGGCAGATGACTTGGTGGTTAGGTCCTCTGAAACGTGAGAGCATATTACGTCCGCAACGCGTTTGCTACTTTTATAGCTGTTATTGTTGGACCATCAGTCGTCTGAAGTGATGGAATTCCCTGCCTCACCTTACGATGGCCATTGACATGCTTGTACAGCAGTTTGTGGTCAGCGCTGAAAGTTTTCTCCATGTTCTGCTGATGTGCGGCTTTGTTTTCTCTGAGCACTTGAGTACATTGGTTACGTTGAGTTACGTAGATGTCTCAATTATGTGGCATTTGTGATGATCTATACTCTCACCATGCTGCGTTGCTTGCTAACGTCCACTCTCAAGTCCTGCTCCTTAAGAAAGACACGGTTTTAGACCCATGACAAACCGTTGCCTTTGACCCATTCTTAACCAGGTGATTTAATTTGTTGACGATTCGAGCTGAGCGACTTCCGGGGAGTGTTTGACGAGGAACGACCAGAGTGTGTCAGTGACAAGCTAGGCTAAGCAGTCGAGGCGTGTAATTGTCCGCACCATCTCAGGGTTCTCATGACGATATTCCACATGACATATGAAGTTGAAAGTGATGACTGTATACTCCCTACAACCCAAATGGCAGTCTACAACCAGTACATCAGCTATATGTTTCGTTGATGAACACGAGATCCAGGGCGTATGGTCTGCTACCTGTTCTGAACCGTGTGGGCAAAATGACTTGCTTGTGAATTGGAACACGTCGTTTTGTCCACTCCCTGAGTACTACACGACAATAGTTTAACCCTGGCCGACGCCATTGAATGGTGCCTCTGATTCTGTAATTCATGTGCTCTTTATGGACAAGTAAAGTTCGTTATGCGCGCTATTGGGCAGTCATATGAACTGATAGTGCATTACCATGATTGTTACTGCTGATCTTGTGGTCTGCCGTCTTATTCCGCATTAGTTTGTTAAGCCTCTTCCATTTTACTTGATACTGTTGAGCCGCTTCTGTCTTGAGCAGCTGCGGTTCCATCTTGCTCTGTGCGTGATCACGCTTCGTCCGTTTTTCATTAGACTAATCACGCCGATTAAAATCCAACCCTGAACTCTGATGTTCTCTTGCGTGCTTTGTTGTCCGACCCATTGGCGATGTTCATTCCATTCAACCGGATTTTTGACTATCTTGCCCACCCAGTCCGCTAGCTGTCACCGTGCTCGTCATACCCATTCCATATTTGCTTTATACGGATCAGTAGTGTCGGCTCGAAATTACTGCATTACATAACCAACGTGCATGCATATACTAGTTAACAATTGCCGTGGACGCCCTACTTTACTTTCAGGAATAATGCGTTTCGACGTTTACGCAAGCCACCAACTAGTATTGTGTTTCGTAATTGTTCGCATACCAACGCTTCATTCGGCTTGACTCGATGGATTATCATTTCTATGTTTGCAACCTAAACCTCAGTGTGGTTTCCGATTTGCACCCTTTCAGTATGCAACACTACCGATGGCACTTGGTCTTTCATAAGGTGCGTTGTTACATCCACCTCTAGGTTAGGTTGCGAACACCTTATTAAAGGATGAATGAAGAATGTCAGTTTATGCCTCAGGGAATTATCCGGTTTGTACCCGCTCTCTTCACGGTTGTTCAATGTTTGTGGCGGTGTGTTGCGTTCTATCTCCTCGCATCTAGGGTCACGTGACTAGAGCTGTCAAATGTCTTTTCTTTCCACAGGGAATCTCTAGCTGCGAACTGTGTTTCCTGCTTTAACTGTCAAGTTAGACACAGAGTGACTGGACTGGCTTATCGTGTTGAACTCATCTTGCTTCATAATTTGATAGTGTACAGATTGACTAACCTTTGATAAGTGCCTTTGTGAGTATTTTGTCAAATATCCTTAACGAAGAATCCGCCTCCCTAACCTGTGCATACAAGTTCACAGAAAACTACAATTCTAATTATCCATTTTCCAAATTTATCCCTGTAGGTGTTCTTTGTCGATAATCCTGTGTCTGTCTTGGCGATTGGCGTCACGTACACAAGAAGTCTTACTATTTGTAGCTGGGTTATTGGGTGGCTTTTTTTTACAAATTCTTCGCTCTCGGTAGTGAGGTCTTGGCAAGCGTTGAGAAACTACAATCCCTGGATAACCTACATGTCGCTTGAGTGCCAAAGTTTACAACAGCCTTCGCTAGCTGCAGCGTGGCGGTATTGCCATGTCAACTAGAGACGTAAAGCTTGCCACAGTGGTTAGCGATTAATTGCTAGATGATTGGCTACTTATACCATTCGTATCCCCCACTATTACTCACGTAATCAGTTCGCAGACCAAACTGTCTATGAGGCCAAAAGTTAGTTGGTGGCTTAGGTTTGTTACCTTCGTTGCCCAGTGATAGGACAACCCTGCCCTCTACACGGCAGTAACGTGTAAGTCAGTGTATAGTGAACGGCGCTATATCACATCTGCTAATAATAGTAGTAGTAATAATAATAATAATAACAAATTCTCGGTTTTACTGGGCATGCCCTGTTCGGCATGATCATAGTGTCACAATTGTTTCCTATAATGTTAGCAGCGTATTTCATATGTCCGACAAAAATTTAAGAGAACGTGTTTTTCTACTCTCGGGT